CACACACACACACACGCCCGCCTGCACACACACGTTGAGGCGATGAAAACAACCTTGCTGCTGACGTCAGGATGCTTACGCTTGGCCAAACAGACAGACGCTGCCTCAAAGCGTTAACGGCCTTACAGCTGTTTGCACCTCGCATCCTTGACTGCCACACGGGAGGACGTCTCACAGCGACGCCATTTGATGTTTTCACATTGCCGCACTACGCGCCGCACAGCGCATTCGCAAATGATTCCAAACCCCTTCAGCTTTTTTTTTTTTTTTTTGGGTGACCCACCACCGCTTCAAGTAGGAGGAATGACTACTTTTATGAAGGGCCCAAATGTATCCATGCTCTTGTCGTATTCCAAACCACATTTTATTTTCTTCATGGCAGCGATATTATTTTAAATGATATATATTTATAAATTTTGTTTCTATCTTTTTCCATTCTTCAGCAATCGGCATTACAAAATGGCTAAATTTCATGAAAATGCCGATTCCTGGGCAAAAAAACGGAGAAAAAGAGCTTTTTGTAAAAGCATGCATTTCAAGCACATGAGGCACCACTGCCACCTATGGTCGCTTTTTTTTTTTTTTTTTTTAACATGATTTACAATGCAAACGGCTTATTCTCATTCACAGATTGCATCAGACCCTCCTATCTATGACGCAAAAAAAAAGACTTAGATGTAAAAGTACGTCCTTGCCTAATTTTAAAAAGACGTACAAGTACGTCTTGTGGAATGAAAGAGTTAAGAATCGAATATATAAGTGAATACAATTGAAGGGAGTCTGAACACATGGGATGCACTGTACAGGGCAGCACAGTCTTTTCTCACTCACGACTTTGATCTGCTTGCTGATGGTCATTTCCTGTCCTACATTCATCTTGATCCAAGCGCCACACTCAGTTCAACCCAATGCTTGAGGCGCTCCGAGATAACACACACACACACAGGATTAACAACAAAAAACAAAAATGCTCAGTGCATATATATATATATATACACACACACACATATATATACAGTAGACAGCAGTTCTCGCGTGTAATAATCTCGACAGGATGCTGAGCGCTAAACCTCCACACAGAGCTGAACGTGCCTCTTTCCCACCCAGTCTGCTTCCTTCCCGGGGTTAGCTCTAGCGCTGAGAGAACTCCTCAAACAGGAGAGCACAAGGTCTTTGTGTCATCATCACATCAAAACCGCTAGGACATAATGACAAGCCGAGGTGACCGTTCACACACACACACACACACACACACACACACACACACACACACACACACACACACACACACACACACAAAAAAAGAAGCCCTAAATAAAACAGTGCCAAATGTGGATGTGAGTTACGGCAGCAATAGCGGCAGCGGACATTTTTGTTAACTCCAGGCATCGACCCAACATACAAACAGCAGCACATCTAGTACGGCTCTAAAACTAAGTTAAGAGCACAGTCAGTCACCTTTAGTTGAACAAAGCACGGAGCTGATTGCTGCCGAAAGAAGCTTCTGTGTCAGTGGAGGAAAAAAACACGAGCAAGGTGAGAGGCTACGATCGATACATTAGTGGAGTCACGCCGCACTTTCGGCTGTCCTCGGAGGCTCGGGCAGAAAGAGCGGCTGCCAGCTAAGAGTGTGAACGAGCCCATTAGGGAAAGCGTAAAAACAAAACAAAAAACGCTCGGGTCAGCCTGGCGCCAGACTCGACGCATCCGGAGTCACGGCAACACATGAATCAACACGTCGCGGCAAAAAGCCTATTTAACAGCTTTCACGCCGACAACCGCAACGCTGCTCTTAATATAAATGGATTACAGGAGCCTCTTAGTCGTATGTGGCGACGGGGGTGATTTACATACATTTATGGCCTTCGCATAGTCGAACACGTACACAGAGAGCACGCAAAGGCAGATCAGCCCCTTAGCTGTGAAATGAAAGTGAGTCAAGGAGGGGGGTGGCGGGAAGCATTTCAAATCCACGTGTGAGCTCATTGAGTTTGCTACAGGTGTCAAACAATTCAGGATTCCGGTTCGGCTGAGCGAAAGGTGTGCGTGTGTGAGGAGCGCGGCACCTACTGATGTATGGCTTGGAGAAATTTCCTCTGGTGCTTCCTGACTCTGGCATGGTCCATCTTCCTCACCAGTTTGGTGTTCTTGTAGATGAGCCACGTCTCCCTGAGAACATTCGCAGCTGTGTTTTTCACCTGAAAGGCCGGGGGGGGGGGGTAAAACACAAGTTGAATCTGACTCCGCCCATGCAAGCGACAGGAGCGGGCTTGGCAGGATGACTCACTCGTTTGGTGAGCTGGGTGTCCATCATGAAATTGTGAACGTGCTTTTCAGCTTTGGTTAACTCCAGCTTCTTCGCCACCACAGCCACCACCAGGGCGGTGCAACCCGCGCCCTGGGAAATAAGCAGTCAAGCGCCATTTTTTTAGATGCAAGTTATTTTCATTTCAATAGCTGACAATGTCGTGAAAATCATGCGAACCCACTGTACACTCCGGATTGTTTCGTGCGGTTTAGAAAGGCAAATGGAGGGGCGCAGTAGTGTTGGGCGGAGGTTGAGGGTGGTGGTAGAGCATTTTGGGGATTAAAAAAAAAAAAAGATGGCTGTTCTGTAGTCGTCGAGTAGTTGCAGTAAATATAACAGGAAGCAGGACAGGGGTGTGCAAACTTTTCCTCCGAGGGCCGCATAGAGGGAAACTGAAGGATATAAGGACCACTGATTTATTCAACACGCCAAAACCAATTCATCAAGCAATTATGACCAAAAATAATAAGAATAAAATTTAAAAAAAGAGACTAAACGACCAGATGTTGTTGTTGTTTTAGGAGGTAGATGCAGTAGTAGTGGATGTGGTAGTTGATGTAGTCTGCCGCTTATAAACAAACATTTGTATGGGTATTTTCCATGATAGCCAACATTCTAGTCCATGTAAAAGGAATAGCTGGAGTAGTAGTATAAATTTACGACAACATATGGTATATGATCAAGTTACATTATATGGACGAAAGCGCAATAGGCGATGAAATCAATCAAGGCTTGGGCCAGCCTGATGAATTGATCATTCTCAGCAATGTAGGCTTCTAAATTTGCGCGACAAGTTAGAGGGAGGCACTTTTCTGCTCCCCCGCTGCACAAAGCAAGATCCATAAAAGCATGCTCGGATGGACTCGGCGTGGAAGAACTTAAATCACCAAACACCTTTGGAATGAACTAGAACAGAGATGGCCAGTCCGTCTCTGGCTCTGACCTCACAAATGTTGTTCGGGATGAATGGACAACGTTTCCCCACAGACTCCACTTGAAAAAGCAATTCCCGATTTTCCACTTCCGGTGGATGTAATTTCCAGCTGTCCCCCTACTCTTCGGGTATTGCATCATCGGTCAACGTAATGACAATCTGCTCACCATAATGCCAGTCAGGAGGCAGACTCCTTTCCCGCAGTATGTATTTGGGACCATGTCTCCGTATCCGATTGTAAGAAAGGTGATGGAGATCAACCACATGGCCCCGAGAAAGTTGCTGTTGGTATCCTGTTGGTCGTGGTACCTGCAAGAAACAACGAATGCGACAGCCTTCCTTACGCTGGGACATTCCGTGTTTCACGCTCGTAATTGTACCTACATCCAAAGTAAATCGAGGACTGAATGTGTCAAGAATCTGGATTAAGTTACGATAACTGCATCCCTTTTTCGATCACGCTTGTCCTCACGAGGGTCTCGGGTGAGTTTGAGAGAGAGGCGGAGTTCTGCTTAATTTTACACTTGTGTGACAGTTAATCAACTATTTGTGCCTTGAAATGATGACATTTCTATTCAATCATGAATTTGCGACACCGGTTATCCTCTCCAGGGTTGCCGGTGAGCCAAAGCGCATTTCTTTGAATAAACAAACCAGAGGTTAAGTATCGAGCATCCCAGAACGGGTCGTGTTTGACCTGACGAATTCAAGCGCACTTTGTAGCTGGATGCTAATTGAGCTCTTGGAGATGATCTATTTTTGTGCCTTATCTATGTTTGATGCTGAGCGGCGCAGCATTGCGTGAGGAGAAGGAAAAAGAAAAAGAAAAAGAAAAAAAAAAAACAACACATGGATCCAGGCACCTCTCGCAAGCTCTCACGGTCCACGCCGCGATGATCCACAGCGAGATGGTGAAGACCAGCAGCACCGTCCCGGGGCAGATGGTCATGAGGGTCTTCATGACGAAGCGCGTGTTGAAGTTGATCTTGTTGAGCGCCCCAATGCTGCGAGACGAGGCGTCCGTGAAGAGCTTGCTGTGCAGCAGCATGACGCGGGCGATGAGGTACAGTCGCAGGAACATGGGGATGGACAGGATGATGTCCACGTCGGCGTCCGCCTGGGACGGCACGTAGGAGTAGGCCAGACGGGCGTTCCAGGTGAAGGTGTAGTTGCCCGGGATGGGGTGGATGGCGCACACCAGGATTTCCAAGCAGATGAAGAAGATGCGCTCGTACGTCATGGCTATCCTCCAGTCGTCGGCCGCGTTGTCCACCATAAATAACTGCGAGCAGAGCGGCCAACGTTTTCATCAATGTGACGACGCCGGGCAACAGGAAATCATTCAAGCTTCTAAACAATGTGTCACTAATGGGCCACGGGTCATTTAAGTACATTTCTCAACTCACGTGACTCAAAACGCTCTTATTTCTGATTGGGTCCAAGTCATTACGCAGGTGCCAATCGATTATGTGTATGCACAACATCCAATATTGTTCCGGGTCAAAACCCAAATTAGAAACTTCCTCCCCAGAAGTCTCGCGTCCACGAATAAATTACATATCGATCTAACATCGACGCGTGCGTACAAATGAATGAAAAAGAAACACGAGTGTATTACAAGGAGCGGGGATCAAAAAAGTCCTTCGTCAAGAAATCGCGCGGCGGCTTGATGATCAATAAAACTGCTTACAGCATTTCACGCTGACAATCTGCAACCCTATAAAAATGCGAGCCAACAGTCAGGCTGTGATAAAAGGAAGCGAAGATAAATGGAAAAACAAAACAAGACGCTTTTTGCATAAGAGTCACCCGTTACAGGAAGGTGGTGTCTTAACGGTACGCTTATATTGTAGTTATCGTGTAAGTTGAGGGGTTGGTTGTTTATGAATGGATGGCTCGAACTTTAAGAGAGATGGACCCCGTTTGAACGAAGCTTTGTTTCTAAACGTCTGCACCGCAGCTACGATCGAAAAAAAACACACTCTTCTTGGCAACCGAATCACTTCCTGCTTTCATTTTCTTCAGCCAATCAGAAGCTATCGACATAAAAAACATGTCTATGCAATTATTAAACAACAGAATGTAATTTTAGGTCATCTTAACGTGAAATAATACAATGCTCAAACATAAAATGATAATAATTAATAATATAAGTTTACAATCGTAATTCTCGTGGCAGAGACCGGCTTCGGTCCATGCGTAGCGGTCAAATATCGTGACTTGAGGTTTCCATGCGACTTGCTCGCTCTTAGACTGCAAATTTAAGCCGCTCTTGCTCATTTTTTTCATATTAATGTGAAAAGATTTAAAGCACTTTGGGCGGCGGTGTTTGCACTCAAAATGCAGTATACTGCGCAACCAGCACCTTTTATTCTTCCACCATTTACGCCTTTTATGCACCACCCAGCGACGTGGGGAAAACGCTACGGGAGAGCCGATTGTCATGCTGTATTAAATTCCCCACCCCGTGTCCTGAACAAGAATCCCTGAAAATTTAAATCATGTTTTCTCATTTGGTCCTATTGACATGAAAGGATTTCAAGCACTTTTGGGCCATGGCATTTGCTACTCAAAACGCAATAAATGCATGCACGTGCGTTTCTGACACCACTGGCGCTTTTCTCTTTCTTCCACTTCTGTGATTTCTCTCACCGCTTGGAGTCTTTGAATAAAACAGGAGCGGAAAAAGGTGCAAGATTAGCAGCGTGCAGTCAGCATTTTCAGCTGCGCACCCAGTTGCACTGATGCGAACATCTGCTGCCGCCACATTAAAACCTCTCGCCTCCGAGTGGACGGTGCCAGTGACCACAGGTGAAATCATCTCTCTGGGGACTTGAATGTGGCTGTAATTTAACACCCTTCATCACTCCACCAAACACTCACACTCACACACACACACACACACATGCATGTTCTGATGAAGGCCCCTCCGCCCTACTCTTCATCATTTTCAGCGCAATTTACAGCGATCTAAGAAGACAAGAGTGTATTCAACCTGAACTAACGGGAGCAGTCCGATCAGGGTGCGCTCATCTCGTTTACACATGATCCGGAACTCTCCCTGTTGCATATTAAAGCCGATCAAACTGCGTTGGCTTCCACACACGTTTGTCAAATTGATTTTCCCTGCCATTCCCATCGGAGGTCCCATTAAGGTCCTCCTCTGCCTATATGTGCAAGCCGTCTGGACTGCTAGCAGATATTTCATAACATGTATCCGTCAGCAAGCATAAAGGGCGGTTCCCGGTATGTTGTTTCTGCCACGCGAAGTAGAAGCTTTTCTTGAAGGGAGAAAAAAACATGCGTGTGATAAATTGGATGCGGTCAGTCATAAGTATTAGGAGCCCTATTTTTCGCAACTAGCACAAAGTGCAGTTAACTGTGCACATGGGTGGAGTTTTCTTTCTTTTGGTATTCTCATGGAGGGGCGCTGTAGTGGGTGTGAACACGGCCGATTTGATTCCTGCCAAATTGAAGCGGCTCCTCTTATTCCTTTCAAATTCGGCGCAAGTGAGGCGCATGGTAGACATGGAACTGTGGATGATGTACTTTCCACCCCCGATTATGTGTCTGTTTGTGACACATACATACACATTGTGTAGCGGGCAAGTCTGGTGTTTTTTTTTTTAAAACATTTTTTAAGAAATAAGAATGATGTGAATTTATTTTTATAATTTATGAGTAACAAAAATGACCTTGACGAATTGATTTCAACAATGATTTAAAGGGTTCAATGCACGATGATGTCTTATTTATAAATGAAATATAATGACATCCACCACACATATCAGTGGCAGGTAGAATCTGTCTGCCTGCGTCTGGATAAAATCCACCAAATTCGCATTACACAACCCGCGCCACAACTTAGACCTGATTTCACCTGGTCTAAAATCAAGTCTACTTTCTGTCACCAGTAGACGGGCCTGAAATAGAAAACGGCGTCAATCTGCCATAAAGTCTAGGAAGGCACAATGTGGCGTGCCAAAGACGCGAACAAAACTAGACTCGCCCTGGCCCGAAAACAAAGATGCGCCAGTTTTTATGTGACAAAGAGTCCTGCAATCAGATGCGTGACATTGTCACTGACAGCATTTGATTGGGCCCAAAATAGAAAACGGCGTCAATCTGCCATAAAGTCCAGGAAGGCACAATGTGGCGTGCCAAATACGCGAACAAAACTAGACTCGCCCTGGCCCGAAAACAAAGATGCGCCAGTTTTTATGTGACAAAGAGTCCTGCAATCAGATGCGTGACATTGTCACTGACAGCATTTGATGTGATGTCAAAAATACCTGACTTCATACCTCTGCTGCATTACACAATTCCCTCACACACACAGGTGTTGTCCACTCCTGTTATCACTCTGACACCCCCTCCATCGGTGGGAATTTGACATGTTGACTCCCAACTTGCCCTTTCACCAAGCAGCAACCCATGAAAATAATAATAATAATAATAAAATAAAAGACGGAAAGATGTCTCTTTCTTTGCATCAAGTCTTTTTGCTAGCTTGAACGTGTAACAAGAAGGTCTAAGAATCCTCTCTGTTTTGCTGGCTCGCCACTTCGCTTGTATTTTACTTCCTTCATTTAATTGATAGGGACATTGCAATTTACCATAGTTCAAAGACAGGTCAGGGAACTGTGGTGCCGCAGAAAGACTTTATAGCTTTTTGCTAATTTACAACTGCAGGCCTTAGTCGAGCCAAGTCGGCCTACATAAACAAACTTAAAACTGCTTTGAGTTATGCGGCGCAGCCTTCATTATAATCACACGTGAAATGTGTTGAAAAGAGGTCGGAACAGCAAACTTGAGTTTGCGGATACGGTCATACCCATCGTAGGGAACACTCACTGCAAGCTCATGTCGGAAGCTTGCCAGCAAGTTTCCATTTAGTCCAATTTGAGATTCCTCATCATGGAGGTGAAAACAGTCCTGGAGGCCTAATGGGATCACTGACCTAGATTGTAAATTTAGCAGGGATAAAATTAAAATTGCTGAATCGTCTTTTTGCCCCCGTTGTGAAATTGGAAGCCCCTTTTTGTCATTTTTCAAGCTAAGGACAAAAACAAATAAGTGTCGGAAATTCAATAATATGCTGTCATGCCACTTTTCCCCACTAGAGGATACGCATGAACGCCCCTCAAGGCATCACGGTTGTGCCGCTGCCTGCTTTGCCTCAACACACGTCAAAAGCTGTTTTGTATGATTCGACGAGAACAGAGCAAGCTACAAGTTCCCCGGAGTGGCCCCACAAAGGCTGGCCGACTCCTGTAGAATTATTTAAAAGCCACAATCCGTTTCCCCCTAAACACACGAAGACGTGTCAATTAAATTTTCAGTGGTCGTTGTTCATATCAGCGGCGTGACACCCAACTCTTTTGACAAGCAGGCATCTGTCCGAGAAGTATGTAACTCTAACCTGCCCAGCCGGCCCGATGTAAAGTCCACACACAAACACACACACATACCCCGAAACGTCGGCCGGCCTCCAGCTTCCCGCCTCCTACTTTCTTTACACGAGCGAAAATGTATCGTTTCCGACGCGGCTCTCAAGCGGCGTTTTATTTTACATTTTAAACAACACACGTCCCCCCCGTGCAAAGCGTTTACAGAGCTCGTTACCTCAAAACAATGTAATTAAACATTTAGACCCCGGTTGGCGAAGGAGAGCCTACGGAGCGGCTGGAAGCAATTAGGGTAATGGTTGACCTGAAATACAATCCGCAAGGGCCCTTTAACGCAGGGCGTCAAGCATTCAACGGTGGCACAAGGACAACAGTTCTGACACACGGATGCGTACAAAGCGATAAAGCATGCAGACAAAGACTAAAACGGATGCCCGTTGTCATGTTGGAAGCAAGGTTTTTTTTTTTTTTTTTTTGTTTTGCCAGTGAGCTCAGTCGAACTTCTAATGTAGATAAGATTTGTTGTCGTCAAATGTGATGAAAGAAAGTCCCGTCGAAATAATTCATGATGTCACAGAAACAAATACAAACAAATCCTTCGAAATCCATCTCGCTATTATGTTGAATTTAGTTGTGATAATTCGTGGCAGCCCTTAAATACTTTTTGCTTTTTAAGAAGCCGGCCGATCTCATCTTGTGTTTTAAAGCCTAGCGTGTTTTCAGACAGGACATCATAGCCAGGCTGGAATATTTTTGTGTTTTATTTACAGTAGTTCCAAAGGTATTCACTTTGCCAAATCAACAAACATTAGCGGGTTAGCAAAACATTTTTTTTTTAACAATCATGTTTTATGGCATGTCCACAATGTTTGTT